TCCCAAATTTTCAGCACTTGCCTCTGATCTACTATTCTATTCCCCTGGAAGTCTTCGATGCCAACATTTTGAATCCCATGATTCTCTTTCCATCCTAGTTCTTTTGTCTTCATGTACATCAAATCATAACGTCCTGTTCTTTGAAATTCTATAATCTCATTACATATCTTCTCAAGATATTCCTTTTTGGCCCTGTCCGTGGCGCTTTTCAATTCATTCCTCAGTCTCCTGTATTTCCTCCTGCCTTCTTCATTGTTGACATTCTTCCATTTCCTTCGCTCCTCCATTTTACTCATCATCTCCTGTGTAAGCCATGGTTTTCTTGCTATCTTCTCAACTTTACCACTGGTATTAGTATTGCTGAACTTTTTGGCCCTACTACTGAAGAATAAAATAAGTATCTAAATGCACAAAAATAACATAACATGGGTGCAATGAATCTCTCTTACACATTCCCTCCAGTAAGATGTAACAGTTGAGCCACATATGAAGACTGCAGATAATGTGAGGTGGGAAAGACAAAACGGAAACTGCAGGGAAGCCAAACTAACAGAACCCTTTTATAAAAAAAAAATTGAACTGAAAATTAATGTGGACAACACACTGACCATGGGAATTTCTAGAAACATAGATACAAACATCAGAATAGGATTCAACAGCACAATGGTTAATAAGGTGGACAAATTTATTTAAATGGAAAGTACAATATTTTCAAAGGAAAAATCAAGGCAGAGATCAAGACAAAAATATAGAATTAAACATAAATTATGTCAATTAATTAAAAGATTATTACAGAACAGAGATATCCCAACAATAATAAAAAACAAAGACCTATAAAGTATATTTGAAACTGATCCTAACAGTAATGCTGAAATATGGAGCCTACAAAGAGAAACAAAAGTAAAATCCAAGTAACTGATGTGAAATTTATCTAAACTAACAAAGGGGAAAACAAGGGAGGGCGAAGCGTTGTCAATATCTCAAACATGATAATTGTGGGATGATGAAACAGACTGGAGACTTTCTGTCCATCTTAACCTGTAAAGAATGCAAATGATGCTAGAAGAGAAACATAAAGAATACAAATTCACAATATTCTAATTCCTAGTAATACATTCATATTAATGAATAACATTAAAACTGTTGGCTAGGAATACCTGTAGCGAGTAACAGCTGACTGTAATTTCCCTGTCTGAATGTGAAGGATTGGCGCTCGCTGTAAGACTGTTTCCAAAACAGGCCCAATTTGACGTTCAGGATTTGGTGGCTGTGGTGAATATGAGCCTACAGAGTGAATTACATTAATGTGACATTACAGACTGGTTTGCTTCCATCATATATATATATATATATAAAGTCACTGCTGAAGTTATGTAACGTAAACTAAGATGCACAATTCTAATGGTGCAGGAGGGTGAGAGCACACTCATTTAAGGAAATACACTCAATCACCGACTTAATAACGGGTTATGTTCCAAAGCCCTATTTGTAAGTTGAAGTCTCACAAGAAACAAAACAGTTAACAGTAGTTGGGTACCTAACCTTGTAAACAAGCCCATTTATCATTAAAACACACTCACACACACAAAATATAGACTTCAATGCAGCTTCACCGGTCTCGGTTCAATCGCCACTTAGTCCATGACATCTTTCAGCCCCACAGGGCCATCATCAGGTATATATAATGCTCTGTGTAAATTGTTAAACTGTTGTCTAGTATTATATACACTGATCGCAGCGGCCGCATGGTCTTAAGCACGAACTATATTTGTTCGCTTGAACGCTGGGTTCATGGGTTTGAATCCCGCTCAAGGCATGGATGTTTGCCTGCATTTATTCTGTGTTTGTGTTGTTTTGTGTAGGTAGCGGCCTTACGATGGGCTTAGTCTCCATCCAATAAGTCGTATCGACTGTCTTAGGATTAAGAAACTGAAGTGAAAGAAAGCTCCAAAGTGGGAGCAACAAGAAAAAAAGAGAAAGGGAGAGAGAGTATTATATAACTCGCGAGGGGTATACGTTAAAAAATTATTGTAAAAAATTTTGTGCCTGTTAAATTTTACATGTAAAAAGTGTAAGTGGGTCGTGGCACTCCTCTTCTGTGCTGCTTCATTGTTCTTACAGTGATGTGTGTACCATGGATGGTGGCCTGATGTGTGTGTTCCAGCAACCAGTGAGCGTGCAGAGAAGATGATTAAGTTTGAAAAGGTTGTTCCTGTGCTTAACAAATTAAGCACTACACCACAAAGACATATTGGTCAGTGGATGTATAGATCCACATTTTCTTGACCTCGGCACTAGTTGGAGGTGAGTGGCCAGCTTCACACTTGGGCCACATTACTCCCGGAGAAAGAGCCCCTGGTACCCATTGGATAGGAGGCTGGGTGGACCCCAGAGCCGGTCTGGACTATGCGGAAATTCTTGACACCACCAGGACTTGAACTCTGAACCTTTGGTTGCCCAGCCTGTAGCCAGTCACTATACAAATATGTTATCCCAGCTCCTTGATTATGTTTAACAAACAGAAATGAACTATGGTCAAAGTAATCACAATCTTTTTCATGGAGTAAGTAGCTTCACTGATTCTTGACTTAATTTAAACCAAATGCTGTGGCTGAGTCCAAGGAACCTTGGACATGGAAGGATTCTTTGGGATGACCTAAACAATGGACAGTGAAAAACATAGGAGAGGAACATGGAGACTGGATCCATTTGGATGAGGATACAGATTACTGGCAACCTACTGCACACACAGTAATGAAATTTGGTTTCTATAAACAGCAACCATTAGTGTCTCAAGAAGGATACAGGTGATATAGAACAATCTCGGTAATCTGGCTGTGCACTAGTCCGACACGTCCAGTAATCCGACATCAGGCACCAGACAGGCATCTGCCACCTTGTGCAGGTTTCTACAGTCAGCAGAGGCTGTTCATTCAAGCTTGATAAACTGATTTATTTACTGTACATTCCTGTACAGCACCTTTCATACAGTGGCGGATTTATTGTCACTTTTTTGTTGTTGTAAAAATGCAATGAAATGAAGCCCTAAATATTGATAATGGACAAAAATTCACAGTACAGGGCATGTAAAATAAATAAATGATAATCAATTCTGAAACTTCTATGTTATTAATACAACTTAATAAATTTTTTCTGACTTTTTCCAGTAATCCATCATTTTTGGTAATCCAGCAGTACCTTGGTCCCATATATGTTACCAAGACTGTACTGTACTTACAAATACAGAAACAAAGAGAAAAGAGGGCAAGACCAAACACAATGCAGCCATTGCTGTCATGACACAGATCTGTACCTGTGTTGATGGTTGTGGTTTGCTGCTGCTGCAACTTGTCCTGCTCCTGAAGGTACAACAGTGTGAGATCCCCAGCCACTTCAAAACACTTCACTCTCTGCTCATCCCACTCAGCTTGCTTGTACTTTGATGATGAAGAAGGACGCACTTTCTCCAGACACATACCTGTGCCACAACAAAATACAAAAATTCACACATATAAGTTAGAGCAGATGCAGAATATTAGTCAACAGAGGAGAAGAAACAAAGCAGCTCTCTCGAAGCATTTAGAAATTAATACCAAACTAATGAAAAAATCATATTTACCAATGCTAATTTCTGGGAAGAACACTTTGCCCATTTTCCTTTGATATGACATGGACCCAAACCATCTCTGTCGTCTAGTGGTCAGAGTTCCTGGCTACAGATCCAGAGGTCTGGGTTCGATTCTCAGCAATACCAATTTCTTTTCTTTCTGAGACGTAGTGGGTCTGGAATGGGGTCCACTCAGCCTCATGATGATAACTGAGGAGCTATTTCAAGGAAATAGCAGCTCCGGTCTAGAAAACCGAAATTAAAGGCCGTGGGCATTCGTTGCGCTGACCATGTGACACCCTCTATCCACAAAAGTTGGCACTAAACTTAGCTGACAAGTGGCAGTCGTTCGGTCAGTATAGTTCGCTTGCAGACTAAAATCACAGTTTTCTTTACAATATGAACCACACAGAAATCAGCACATCCAACATTCCTTGTATTGCTGCGTGTGTATTCATGGCCAGCGTAACATTTCTACTGTTCCATTTCCTAGCAATGAAAGTGGGATATATTATTATTATTAGAGGGGGTGGGTTTCCCCATGCACTTAGACCAGTTATTGGTCCATTGTGTGTCCTCCTTTAATTTCTACTGTTGCCATACCCTACCGGTACTGGTGTGTGCTATCAGCCCCGTTCAGCCAACAAGGTCAGCCCTCGGTACCTGATAATTCCTCCATCTACCAGAGGCATTGGAAACTCCTTGGGCAGGAAATGTGTTGCCTAATTTTGCTCAAAGGTCTCCTAGAGACATGAGGATCTTTTACGTGCCATAAATCTACGACATGGGACCCACAGCTTAAAGTCCCTCCCGGAGGACTTGTTCCCTGAATTTTTCCACCCTTAAAAATTCCACGACCTCTGCCGGGTTTGAACCCACGTACCTTGAGTCATGAGGTGGGAACGTTACCCCTAGACTACAGAGGCCGCTAAGTGGGATACATACACAGAGACAAAGAATAATGGGATGGATTCATGAAGTATGCCATTCAGATGGGCTCAGGTGCCATGAAATACATGCCAAGTTCCATAAAGCCCGGTTCAGGCATTCAATAGTTGGTGGGGGGGAGAATCGTAGACATACAGACATCATGGATATCTCCTAGCAACGAATCCTTTCCAATTCACCACACATAAAATGTTTTCCACTTCTGCAGCTGGTACACATTGTTAAGTAACTTATGACTCGTTTATTCAAATAACTACTATTTCAACGTGCCTTTAATTGCATATGATTCAGCAACTATCCTCAAACTTCTACTAGGCAGCTGTTTCTCTGTAAAAGATTGAAGTTCTGCTTGATTGTAATAATTGAGTGACTCTTCATACATTCCCATAGCATAGTGCAGCTTTCCAAGCAACAGATTAGAATCCAATATAACTCCAGCCTAGAAGAGAAAATGTTCATTACTGCACTACCAACGTCCAACAGCAGTATACAAACAATGAATATACAATATCCATGTGTCCCTTAACAATTTGCTCTGATGACAATCCCCTTAGCATAATAACCATGATATCTTCATACAATATAGTTAAGTGCCATTAAGTACAAGAAATCCACAAGTGTCACTCAAAATGTCCATGAAGATTAATCATATGTATTTATAAATAACTGCAGATGGGTAAAATCAGTACATCAATTTAATTACCTTCTTCCCTTGCTCACTTGCAGTGCTCAATAAATATCGTTTGGCCTCTGTTAAACCTGTGCGAGCCTTACTTATGTTTGCATCAACTGGGGGAAATTCCTCTAAAAACGACTCCAGTTTCCCCTCACCAATTAAGAAGTTCGCCAAATGCTCTAGAAATAAAAACAAAGTTTCATAAAATGATAAAAACAGTACCGTTAAACTTTATTTACACAATCGGCCCTGAAATGCATTTATTCGGAAGTTTCATTCAACACAAATAATTCTGAAGGTCATACTGCAATAACGATTTGTGAATTTATAACATACATAACCTCGTCGAACTTGGAAAACTAAATGCAACTTACAAAATGCGGCACTGCAGTAACTCACCGAAATCAGGGGCCCTTGATTTTAGTTGTTCGGCTAAATCTATAACTCTCTTCCAATTGGACTCTTCTCTACTTTTCTCTATTTCCGTTTCTAATCGGTAACTTCTACCTTTCCCGGCCATGTTACGCTACTTCCCCAGTTTCTTACAATCAGGTTGATTCATTGTAACAGGATAACCAATACCTAAAATCGAACACCTCAGAGATAACATATGCAGTCACCAAGCTGAATTAAAAAACTAATTAAATCTGCACACCATATTTACCACATAAAACACAAATTCTCACGAAATATTCGGCCCATTTTTGCACATTACTTTCTGACAACTTGTTAACAAGTTTGCCTTGAAACAGAAAATATGGTACAGATTTGGGTTCTTCGAATTTCGTATGTACGAAAACATGAGTGTTATTGTCCCACTATTTTTAGAAAAAGCAATTATTTTAAACTGAGCTATCTCGAATGCCATATAACACAGATTCAAAAAGTTTCTGCAGTGCCGCCATAATCGTTGTTCGATACTTGACAGCCTGACCAGCCTAATCGGGCGGCGACAAACATTATCCTTACGATCCTTCCACTCGTTCCACTCCACTCTACGTGGGGCAGGGATTACAATGTATGTTTAGGGTTAATTTATTGGGCATTCACATTGCAGAGATTATGAATGCGTGGAGCTCATCTCCATTCCCCAATATAACGTCATTGGGTCTGCTTAGAGCGCTTAGAGATTTCACCTTTTACCTCAAAGTTCACATATTACTCCCAAGGCTGACAAAACGTGTGTGTAAAACTATAAACTTCACATGCACTTAATAATGTCACTAAAATAACTGACTGAAACAAAATTATCAGCATTTATTAATTATACAGACACATGAAAAAATAAATTACTTGAGAGTGATAGACTAAAGCAATGTGTACTAAGTTCACCCACAGATAACAAAATAAGAGTAACTGCTTATCTTCACCAGATTTATTTGGCATCAGTGCTTTTCAGCTGGTTCTGGGTTAAGCTTTCACATCCATCTGGACATCCCTTTACACAGCCAACTGCATCTCAATTGATGAGGACTGCATGGCATAACTGAGATGTTTTCTGCCATTTAATAGCTTTCATATCCACAGTCCCAGAGCTGAAGAACATTTGCTTTAAAATTAATTCATCAAACATCAAAATCTTCTATGCATCTTGAGTGCACACTTGTGAAGCACCAGACATGACTAAAATATTGTCACATGACTGAATGATCACAGACGTGGTTTGGATTGGTAATTGGATTTACTGCATGCTTACAACTCGGAACTACAAGTAACTATAATGCTGCACATGTCGCTATAACCCACAATAGTCTTCTCAGCTTGCTACAGCCTCCACTAGTAGTTCAGAATTACTGCATTTTTTAAACGTTTTAGAAACTGGATGTTTCCATCCTCATGTGAGGGGGGAGGACACCCAATGTGTTGGGTCCCTTCGAAAAGGCTAACTTCAGTGATGAGGTTAGCTGTTTCTAAGGGACCCAACAGAGTAGGTGTCTCCCCCTCATCTGAGAATGAAAACAGATCCAGTTCCTGAAATGCTGTTTTCTAGTTATTAGAATACCGGACAATGGACAAAGTCCAAAACATCTGTAATTCTGAGTACTATACACTATCATCAGAACCCTTCAGAATCTACTTCCACTAGTCATTGCATGGTTAAAGTCTTCTGAAAAGGGCTATTCCTCACAAATTTATGGCTCTGGAACTGCACTCCCTAACCACTGTCTCAAGGCTGTACTGTTCTTCTGCTGGCCTCCTAGCCCAGGGCCTCTGTTCTCAGACTGTCCACCTCTGAACTCAAACTTTACTGCTAAATTGCTGTTGGCCCTCATTGGCACAGTGATTCTTGGTTCTGAGTACCACGGGACTCATGGCCTTATTTTACTGTCTGATGGCTCTACTAACCATGGGTTTCAGTTCTCCAGATATGGCCTGGGGACAGACTCAACAGAAAATACCTTTCCTTGCAGGTGCTATGTTACAGAGTGAAGTAGACACCATGGTAGACTGCACAGAAAACACTGCATCTAACAGCTTTGCTATTACTGCAGGTGTGTCTGTAGCAGCGATCACATGATGGATATTGAGCCATTGTCTAGTTATAGGCTTCTTTGCAGAGCCATTCTCTAGCAACGGCTGTCTCTGATGGTTTCCCAATTCCAACTTTCAGCACATAAGCCACAATATGTACAGCCACCAGACTATGAAGTGGGCCACTCACCTCCATTTAATGTCACATTAAGAATGCATGGAAGCACACCTGTACTCCTCCAGACATCTATGAGGGATGAAGTGTAACTAGAACAGGGGCAATTTTAAAGTTTGCAATCCACACAGGACTACAAATGCAGAGCAACAAACTTATAATTTACTACACTCTTAGTTCAGTGCAAACAAGACAGCTGTCAAAAGCATATGAGAGGAGTCTGTCCCTCTACTAACAAGAGCCCACAGACTAACCAAATTTTGCCCAATCCCAGTATGGTGGCCCTACATTACATTTTCTTGAGACATTCTGATTATGGGTGAATTGGGTTTGGGACTCTGTAAGAACATGATCTTGAATTGAAGAGAGCTCTAACAATGCAAAAAAAAAATGCCGATTTATTACAACACATTAATATAACTTGGTAAGAAATATAGTTCTTGTATCTCTTTTTCTGAAGCCAACTGCACCATGGGTATCTTAATCGATATACCTGTATCAGAGATAATGCTAGTTTAACATGTACTTGCAGGGCATTCAGTTTTGAGTTCAATAGCTGCAAGAATTTGTTGAACGGGAGCAAAGATTTGAAGGGAAGCGGGGAGGTGACACACACATACACACTGAAATTAGCAAACACTAAACAAAACTAATGAAATTTGGTTACTAATGTGCAACAGTCAGATTACATAACAGTACCAAGATCACAACTTTAGGAATAAACATAATACTTTCAAGTGAATATAACCACACCTATCCCATTGCAGCTATTTCTGTGAATGCTCTGGCTGTCCATGTTGATGTCTTGGGACTCTGTCAAGAATCTCAATATCACAGCTTGGTAAATGTGACTGTAAGACAGACAAACATTCTTCTTTATTCTTCAGATATATCAGATCATATATATGTAAGGATGTGAGTTTACTGAAATAAAAGGAAAAGAACATTGATGTAAAATTATTAATGAAAGATCAATAAACGTGAATGTCATTAACAGACCCAATTTTCAAGTTCTGTGCTCAGAACATCCCAGATACTCTCACTAGAAGGCATCACTTGTGGCTGGTACAGTGATGTGAAGGGCCTGTTTTCATGTTTCATCACAGCTTTCAGATGGAGAAACTGGAAAATGCCATGATAAATCTCTGTCAGGATGGAAAAGTTCATACCAGAAATCTCTCACTTATAACAGAAGAAAAAGTGCTACTATCTTCTGCTTCCTGACTTTTAAAAATCTTGACTCAGAACTGAAAGAACATCAGATTTACAAGTATTAAGGGATTAACTTCATTACTGTGTGTATAGTCTGTTAGTATAAACATGTGCTGTAACTTCAGCCAGATTATGTAGTATCAAATTAAACACCATTATCATGGTCTTCTGGAATATGTTACCATGTAATTTGGTAGATAGGTAGCAAGCATTCAGAGAAACCTGTTGCAGTGATCTTTAGAATACCATCTTCTACTCTGAAGACGTAGGCAGCAGGTCTTTCTGAAACAATGGTATCTATCTACCACACTACAAAGCATCATATCCCATACATCATTCACTGCCACAAGTACCTCAAATCTCAAATGAAATATGAGTACAATCATGACTGGCAAGCTGACAAGATGTCAACAGGTAGTACCATCCTGATATTCATACAGAGAAAGTGTGGAAAATAATGGAAAATTTTGTTCAGGACAGTCAAGATTTGATTTGGGTGCTGACCCAGATCAATACAAACCCACATTTTGTTGCTTCATTTGTGTAGTAGCTGGCACATATGCACATTTTTATATTTTGCTGTAGTGTAGTCATTATAAATTTTAATCATCTCTTCCTGACATACGTTCGTCAGTTTCAGTCACACAAAATGTGTTATAATAAATAAATAATATGTTATATATTCCTTCTATCTATTTTACATAATTTTGCTTGGAAACTAGGAAGTCATAAGAGGGAAAATGGTATCACCCTTAAATTTAATTGGACAAATTCTTCTTACTCTGACATTTTCACTTTCATATCTGACCTCAATGTGAGTAAACATGATGAACAGAAGTGCAAAATCACTGTTGAGGTAATGAATAGTATAGTTGATTAGGGAATATCAGACTGTTAAAATCAGTTTTGTTTTTACAAACCCATTCCCTTAAAACAAAATCCTGAAGTTGCAGAGTGTGGCACAGACAAAGAATAAGAAAAGACTGAAGAGTACAGTCTTCTGGGTTGTAATATGGTGCAGTTCAGTAAAAGACTGACATACACCTCTATCTTTAGAGGTAAAACAGTAAGCCAAGGAAGAAGCAGGCAACAGAAAATGTTGGGCTCTTTTGAACCACACAGTGTTTCAACCCACAAAATTGTACCCTTCACAGTCACCACATTGAGAACTTCAAATCCAACACATAATAAAACTAACCTTAATGTATGAAGGGACTTCACACCTTTATCAGTTATGTTCCCACAACTGATTATTTGCAGACGTTGGAGTGAATCCTTCAGATATGAAAGCTTTTCAAGAGCTTCGTCCTTTAAATACAAGCAACGATGGAACTGTACGTGTGTTATATGTGTACAGCCCTCTGAAACAACATGTGACACAGACCTGTCATTAGAACAAATGTGTGCCACAGGGAAATACTTATTGAGCTGCAAATTAGTGTTCTGCATCTTCATGCGTGAAACAGAAGGAAGTCCTAAAATTGTTTGTCGGGAACAAACACATTGGGAGCGAAGAATGATAAATGATAACATCACATGTGTCATGCTTAGTATCATACTTTATCTATCTCCTCCTCCTTTTTCTTCTTCGTCTTTACTGGCACTACAACCCTATGTGGATCTTGGTCTCCTTTGTGGTTTCATAGCAGGATTTTTTTCAAAGGTGGGGTCATTATCCCCATGCCCAACCACCAGCATGGAGCACCAGACTCTACTTAGTCTGGCCCCCATCCTTTGACTCGTCTGGCATGAGTGGCCCTACCAGGAGCTTACACTCCCACCAGCATAGCTCATCAGGTCACTGGGGCACATAAACCTCCTCTCCACAATAAAGCGGTAATCCTCGAGGAGGCTATCTACTGTTACACTTATTAAATCAAGAAAAAACAAATGGGTGTGATATGGACAGATGGTAGAGATATTGTCAGCTGCCACGATACTTCTGAAACATTTAAAACAAAATGTAACATAAAAAATTAAACATACTCACTGAAGTATCCAAAACCATAATGCATAATCGATGAATCTGTAGCATCTACTGCCTGAATATACCTAACATCTCCCTCTGGAGGCAATGCATTATAATCTTTAAGGAATTCACGCTCATTAGTCCATTTAATAAAGGCTCCATTACGCATTAACCATTCTGCACAAGCTCTATCAGGACCAACCCTCGCAATTCGTTCATCATCAACTCTGAAATGAGAAATGTTACTTTCATAAAAGCAGGAATTATACAGACATTAAGTGAATTATTAATTTCATTCCCCTCTCCTCTTTAACACCTGACATTTGTTTGTGAAGATAGTCAAAAGAGAAATGCAAGCTGTTTCAAGGGTAATGCTTCTGACTTGTATCTGGAAGATAACTGGCTCACATTTCAGCTGTTACAGAAACATGGTTTCCCTCAGTACCTCCAGATGAATGCCAGGACAGGAATTTAAATGCTGCCATAATCACTTCCTTCAACATCCCTTCCAATTCATTATTCAGTATCACTTAATCATATCGTTGTTGTATGTGTTAGACAGTTAATGTGGGTGATCTTCGTTGTGTGGCTTGTGACTTTGTGTATGTGTTTGGTGACTATTTCCACATCCTGGGTCTGTTGCCTGTATGGATGTTTATGGAAAGTGGAGGATATGTATGTATATATATGACGAGTCCTGTATCAATGTATTTTGATTTATGGGAAAATGAAATAACAAAAGAAAGAATGAAAGATAAGTGGTCATAAATGTGTAAATTTGTAATGCATTTAATTCAGTTAATTTGGGTAATTTGAATGAAATTGTATTAATTTTAAGTTTTTATAGTATTGATTCTTTTTAAATTATGTTTATTAATTATAATTGTAATAAGTTTTTTATTCTATTATCTATGTTAATTGACTAATGTATGTGATTTTAATTATGTAACTTATTATATGTATCTCGACACATCTATTATCAAAGGGATTATTTTCCACATCCTAGGTTTTTTACCTGTATGGATATATGGAAAATAAAGGAAATGAATGAATGAATATGACATTATCTAGTCTAAATTATTGTCAGTGTCCTTGAATAAATTTAAGATAATACTTGTATTTCTGAGTTTCATAACAAAATAATGAAAACCTTTGATCAGATAACCATTCTGTGTCTATAAATACAAATTGAAGACTACTGTCTCCTGGGATGTGACAGCGTGTACGCAGTTCTTGCCTTTGTCCTCTCGCCCTGCTAATAAATATCAGAAGAGTTTCCCATAACCAGTTGTATTAACACATTATTGTATAGCGAAATTGTGGTCTTCTGGGTTGACATCATGTGATCTTGTAGGTTCATACTGGTTTTTCAGAGGAACATGCTGTCTCCATCTTCAGGGTTGAAGTGTGCATATTAAAAAATAAGTTCTACTATGCAGGCAAATTACAAGGTGGACAGTTGTAAGACCCAAGAAGAGGGAGGTAAAGATAGTTGTCTATATAACCGAGCCCATTCCTAAACCTATATAATTTAACCTTGAATACAAAGGGAATACGTACCTTTGAAATACTAGCATCTTCCCACAACATTACATGGTATCACAACCCACAAGACTACAGTCTTAACAATTACAACTGTGAAAACCTCAAAATTTGTAATGGTATGGTAATATGTCTCCTTTTGCATGTTCTGAGCAACTTTATTTATTATGTGTAACATCTAAATGTCTCAACAAACTACATGTGAATATGAAGATAGGTAAATTTATACTGGATTCTGTAATGTTTTGGGTTTGGTTTAATTCTACATATTTATGTAGCATCCACCGTGGTTCTAGAACAGACAGACATTCAAGAGGATGTCTCATACCTTACATCCTCTTCAAACAATCCTTCATAATTACCTAAGAGTATTCTTGTGTGTAAACACTTGCCATGAGGGTCTACAGGAAATGTGGAGGGAACCCATTATCAAACTATTTCGCTAGAACAATGCTCAGCTACATACTCCTGCCAATATAGTAGGCGGGGAAAATATTCTCGGATACTCTTTGCAATGAGAGGTCAGGTTCTGGAAGTGTTCTGGATCTGGATACAGTAATGTTCTGAAAATACTATTTGATAGCAGGACAAAGTATTAGAAAAGGCATACTTCCAAACGAGCTATTAAGGAAGTAATATGACTTACATGCATAGAAATGTTTGCTTCTGAAACTATATCAGACCTGGAGAACTGCTGGATTTTAAAACTAAAACGAAATTTGGAGGTGACTTCCTACAATGACATAACCTCACTTAGCACTTCGCGTGAATTCAGGAGATAGCCAAAGGAATGCCACTAAGATATTCATACACTTGTACATGAGGTTATATTTATGTATCTGGCCCACCTCAATTCAATACTCTTTCGTTCCTCAAGTTGTGGTACAGAATTCATTCCGAGTAGTTTTCATTAATGTTATGTAGCATTTCTATTACGATTATTAAGCACATACGTGCATTACATTCCACATTAAAACCCACCTATTCCACACAATATTTAGCCACTGCCAAAAGCGTCTATGGCTATTAAAACAGAGTCTTGATACAGTCATTTGGTCAAGGTCAAGAATACGCGTATATGTAGAAAGATGGTTCCTGTCTTTCAAAATTACCGCGAGCAATACTCGAAGGCAATGGGGTTAGACGTTATTCCAGCGAAGACCGCGAAGACTACATTGCACATAATCGATATTCATGTTCAATTTACATTCATGATGGATATACATCCAATCATGTACGACCGCTACTTTTAAATTTAAATTCCTATTCCACGTGAACAGTTCAACTGAATGGTAAAACTAAAACTCTGTACCATGAAGATCCATCAAAGCAAAAAAGTAAAGCTATTCCTGTAACAGGCCGTGAAGGCCCATAGGGTTGTGAGACGTTAAGGGTCCCACATTACCTTGACAATCGGCTCAGAGATAGCGGTGGCGGCTGCGCTTCACTCCCCAGGAAAATCATGTAATTGATTCCTGGTAGNACCATGAAGATCCATCAAAGCAAAAAAGTAAAGCTATTCCTGTAACTCCCTCTAGGCATTGAAAATCCAAATGGATTTCTTTTCAGGCTGCTGGGTATTCTGGTCTAAAGGATTCCATTCCATTCAGAGACTTCTAAATGGCCCATTATACCAGCCTCAGATGATAGATATGAGAATAGGGGCATCTGGTGGAATGAATTGGCAGTGGAACCTGAAGTACTCAAAGCCTGTCCCAATATCATTTTGTTTGTATAGAATCCAACACAAATTGACCTGGAGAGAAGTCGGTGGCTTACTGCCTGAGCTATGGCACAGCCAAAGGGTCCTATACACACTGATAAAATCGGTCATTCTTTACATGAGCGATGTGTTTCATGAAACTTGTATTTGTTTCAGTGAAGCACACCCATGTCAGTGAATGGTTTGGTGTCTGCTTCTAGGTATCATGGTATGTCACTATAAACATCCTCATATACATTGCAGTCTGCATCATGACACATATACTGCCACTTGTATCAACATATATGGGGCCTTTCAAGAAACAAGGATTCAAAGATATTGAAAACCATCACTATACTAAAGATTTTGTTTGTAGAGNCCTATTGTACCAGCCCCAGATGATAGGTGAGGGTGATTGTGGAGCAATTGGTGGAATGAAGATTGGCAGGGGAAACTGAAGTACTTGGAGAAAACCTGCCCCAGCGCCACTTTGTCCATCACAAATCCCACTTGACCAGACGTGGGATCGAACACGGGCCACTGCAATGGGAAGCCAGTGACTAACCGCTTGAGTTATGGGGTAGCCCTATTTATCATCTTACTAAAACCAGAAAGACAAATAGACCATGTAAACACATTTTGCCTCAACTCTCAGCTCCCTGTCCCTTTCCTACTGAAGATATCTACAAAATTATTCAGTAGAATCACTTCTTCTACCAAGGTTCTGAATTAATAGGATTGTGGGGCAATACTTTTAATTAAATCTTGCAATAAAAAAATTTCATGCATTATGAAACTGGTATTTTTTATGTCATTCACTTATTGGTTGTTGAACATGAATATATCAAAAGTTTGCTGCATGCACAAAGTTTGAATATCTGTCATGTATGAAAGCTGAGATGAGTTATAAATGGATTCTTTTGGTTGTTGAACAGGAGTTCCAGGCATCTGCAATGTTGCACACAAACTCTGTTCTCTAGGCCTATCTAAAAGCAGTTGTTCCATGAGTTATAAAATTGAAAGATACAGATTCCCAAATCTTTTTCTAGACATGATATTTGTGGATTCTTCATCCAGATGGATCTGTTGATGCAATCCTTGTGTCACTTTTTTAGCACTGATGAATGATGATCCTGAATACACATTATAACCTTAAAATTGTAGCTATGTTGAAATACTAGCTTTCAGATTCTCCATATTGCAATTGTGAGATTTCATGTATTGCTCTATGTCACATTTCAACTACAGTTGATTCTCACTTAAAATCTAGTTAACCCAAAATTGATGTTGGCAAACACAGTACACTACAGTACTCACATGACAATACTGATGACTGTATTTGACTTAAAAAGATGAAATAACAAGTGAAATGAAGAAAATTACATGATGAGCATTAGATTGTTATTGTTCACCTAATATTGCTAGATTTTTAATTCACACATAATATTAAATAATACTGAATTGATATACAAATTTTATTTTCTCAGTTATTTAATGACAGTACCTTATACCATACACATCAAATTTTAGAATGATCAGTGAATAAGGCACTGGAATGCATGTGGGAAAAAAGTAGTTGTGGCCTAGTTTAGCTACTATACTGGCATGTCACGAGGTACTGAAGAAAACCATGAAGAACCTGTCAGTAATCTGGCCAAAATTTAAAACCAGTGATATTCCAAATACAAATCAGAAGCACTGCTGCTTGAGCCAACTTGTTTAACCCAGTACATGTAGGACACAAAAGGAAACAAGAACTGCATATACAATTTCGGTTGGAAAATCTCAAGGGATGACTCCATTTGGGAGACTAGAAATAAGAGGGATGACTAAGCATATTTTAGAAAACTGAGGTATAACTGCCTCCATGGACCTGAGTGCTTCTTGAGAAGCTGCCAGTTGCTCAGCCACTGAAGAATTTCTCAGTGTTTTATGGAACCCATGGCTCATTGTGGTCAAAAAAATTTTTTCTGGGCCCTACCCTTAGCCAGACAAATCAAGTCCATACAACCCCATCCTATTTCTCTAAGATCCATAATAATACTACCCTTCCACCTAGTGGTCTCATTTCAGGTATGAAGGTAAAAAACAGATTAAACAGTGTTAGGATAGGCATGTGGTCCTTTGGGAATTATGATAACACATATTTCAGTTCTGTAATACGTTTATTCCTAACCAGCTAAATAAACATAAAGAGGTGTATCAAAACAAACATATACAATATATATATATATAGAATCAATAGATGATATCTGTATATAACATCTCATGTTACAATGGCCAGATACATACTATGGTGTTTTCAGTTATGTCACCATGTAGTCTGGTAAGTGGGCACCGACATTTTGAAGGAACATGCAGCCTCTATTTTTTTACCCTGAAGACAGTGTAAGTAAATTCCTCTGAAACATACGCATGCACTGATCATACTATATGGCATCATTAAGACAGAAGGCCACAGTATGGAATACTAACTGTATCAACAGCTTTCAATAAACTATGAAACACGTTACATAATGCAATTTTTTAGCCATTTTTCCATTTCTCATGTGACAAGCTCAAGAACAGTGGAGCTATACTTCCACTCCCCCATACATCTCCATAGCATTGTGCTTGATTAAGCACAGGGACAAATTCACATTACCTTTACATTAGAAAGTAAGGTAAAGTCCCTGTGTTTTATTAATTGAGCACCAAACCATGGAGACATATGATGGAGTTGAGGTACAGCTCCACAAATTCTTAACTGTAGCACTAGATGGTAGAATATAACTGAATAATGCCATGAAGCAACTTTTCTTTTAAGTTTATTAGAAAATATGTTTTCTATATTAGAAAGATCTCATTCCAATCACCACACATCATACACTGTTAACAAGTAATGAGCCTTTTAAATCTCATGTACAGTCCATATTCTTCCGGACTTTCAAATATCGCTCAATAATAGCATCCAGTGATTTCCGACGACTTCCCTTTGTTTGCTGTTCTGCTTCTTTGGGATTTGGGGAACAAAGCAGATCTGCTGGACTTATCTTCATGCCAGATGTCACATCTGAAAATCAATCAGCTGTACAGTAAAATTCACACAAAAATTTCCTATAAGAAAGTCCGATTTAAGACCTGTGTGGCCTTCTAAACAGTGGCACTAACAGTTCTTTCTGTGGGTGTGACATGGCTGAACCAACTACTGTCCGATTATTATATTTACAACTCTGTAACCTCAGTATGTTGTGACATCATGCAAATAACACAAAAAGAGGGAGAGATATGTTTCTGCCTAAAGTATTAATGATACTACTCATTATAAAAGAATAACTTATACTGAGCATTGACTTACCACCAAAACAGTCTTGTGAGGGAGTTGATATTGCAGATTTACTTTCAACTGAGGTGGCAGGAATCTGAGAAGATTAAATCCAGAAACATACACAGAATTAGGATTTGAAGTTTTCACACTGGTGGTTACAATAAGTTTTATCTTCTAGGATATAATGCATTAATCCACTGAAAGTCAACCAACTTTTCAGAGGCACATGTTGTTTCCATCTTCAGGGTTGAAGAATAAGCCAAACAAGAAACCATTATGAAGCAAGTAACAACAGTCTGTTACGTGGTGTTATATCTCAGAATATAGAGCTCTTCATAAATACAATTAATCCACAAAACTGGAAACTAAAAGATTTTAATTTGGCAGGCAGGTAAGAAAAGATGCACTGCTTGGGCAGCTGGGCTACATACGTGATTGATGCAACTGCAACACGCATCACATTAAGATTAATGTGTCAATACATCTGTCACTACTTCATCACCTCTCCTTTCATACCAGTTTATGGGTCATTTACCAGAAGACAATCTTGGAAACATTTTATGAAAAGATTGTTTTAACTTCAGTATGAAAAATACTGTACTCACAGCTGCATCATCATAGGCTACTCCACCCAATGGGAACTGATTCCTGCATTGAGCAAACTCAGGAAATTTAAGCTTAAAACTGATGAGTGTGGAGTCTGTACATAATTTCCTAAAATTCCCTTCCATATCTGTCTGTAGTTTAAAGAATGAATTCTGGTTTAAAAAAGGGCACACAGCAGCACAGTTTGTTGAGGCAATATGCTACAAGCTGGAAGGTCGTGGGTTCGATTCCCAATGAGGTCACAGGATTTTTCTGTTGTCCTAATCCTTCCAGCCACACTATGGCCTTGGGGTCGACTCAGCCTCTAAGAGAAATGAGTACCAGGAACTTTCCTACAGGGTAAAGGGTGCCTGGTGTGCAAGGGCTGAAAACCTTACCAACATCTGTGAGCCGACTGTCTAGAAAATGTGGGAGCCTCAACACCTCACAACTCTATGGGTCTTCATGGCCTGTCACAGGGATAGCTTTACCTTCTTTTATTCAAATTTAAAACAAAACAGAACATTGGATATTTACTGTACAAACTGACAACTGTGTTCTATATCCAACTAACATAATATCAGCATGTCATTAGGTTCAAACACCACCTCCTCCCCTCAAAGGTCAAATGCTACAATTCAGAAATATACTCATTACCCTCTCCTGTGTTTCTTCTGGAGATTTCTCAAATAGTTCATTGACGACAGACGGCACAGCTCGTGATTGGCGATGCAGCTTTAAAATAAAAATACAATTAATTACATATTTCATAACAATGAAGGAATGCTTGCTTAAAGCAACAAAATTACCAATTTCAGTTTAAAACCAAATTTATAAAATGCCAACAAAATGATTGACTATATTTTGGAAGTACATGACAAACTTAACCGTATTCATTCTTGTCTGTCACACTAGTAAACTAAATTATAGAATAATTATTAACACTGTCCAGTGTGATTCAATTTGTAGATATTTATTGTCTTTACATGTTCTGGTCAGCTGACAATCTACAGAAGGCATAAAATCAACATGTTCAGAAACTACTATTATAAAGTTTGTAATACATACTTAGAAATTTTTATTACAATTATATGGATTGAAACTGATATCGTTTGTGTCCTTGTGCCTCTTCTGTTAAAACAGAAAGTTGGGATATTATTTTGAGCCCTCAGAGGTCCTTGCTTGTTATGGTACTGTATTGTTGTGATGTCTAGTTGTTTCCTTCTTGCTCTGTTTTGAGGCACAGCAAACAAAGCAAAAAGGAAACAACTAGACATTATGATACATAGCCATAACAAGCTAAAAAAAGGGGGCCATCACTAGAGGAGGGGGCAAGGTGGTTATGTATGTGTATATATATGACCATGTTCAACAGCTTACACAATTTGTCAACAAATCAAATGAACTTGAGGCCATTATGTGTATTTCTTTCTCAGACAATATTACCCTTAATTTAACTGTTCTCCTGTTTCAAGAAACAATATTTTTTATTAAATATCTACTTACAATTGCAAATTTTATCAATGTTTCCAAAAATACTGGTAATCATTACCAAATAAGTTTATTTATAAGTTCAATTACAGTGCTATATCAGTGTTACCTGAGAATTCCATTTGATTGTTTACTGACACTGCTGTTATAGTCCAGTTTATGCAAATACAACATGATAATTGTAAATACCTACCACATTCATCCTTGGCACAGACTGGAACTGTAGTGCCTTTCCTACAGATTTCTTCTTTTTCACAAGGGAACTGGTAAGAGAGCACAGATTACCGGCATGTGACTTCTTGTTGGTTGTTCCACGAAATGTACATATACTTTTGCAAGCTGGAGTTTTGTGTTCCTTTCTGGCACTAGGTAAGTTACTTGTATGCAGTGGGCTGTCATATTCTCTGTCAAACTCTGGTGTCTGTAGGAGCCGAGGATTAAGCTCTATGTCAGCAATAGCCTCGCTCTTTGTCTGTTTGTTACACAAGATTCTATTCACATCTGAATAAGAGAAAAAAGAAATAGAAATTTCACTACATTCCATTCAGAGTACATTTCATCCACCTGCTGGGAAACATATGGGAGATGTTGCTTAGGAGACATTAACTAAAGTAAGTATTCAAGAAGCCACTGGTCACCCAGCCATTCAGAAATCTCCCAGAGTATCTGAAGGTTAATTAACGTGTTCTCAAGAGCCTTCAACTTATCCCTATCATGAGCCAGATGAATCCATTCCATACCACTCCAACCAATTTTTGTGAGCTATCCTGGATTACATGCTATGACAGAGATGATCAACAGCAACACAACTAAATCTTACCACGAACTGGAGTTTGGTCTGTAATATATACATCTTCAGCACTGACAGCAGCACATACTGGAGAAAGAGTGGGTGATGACACCTTTGCTTTTGTTGCAATTTTGGATTTCGAAATTTTAAAATCTGAAAACAAAAAGGAACACTTGCAACATAATGATATTTCCTACTCTCTCCACACCACAGGACTTTTGGATGCAGCAGGGCAAATTCTCTGTGGCAGTAGCAGTACGTCCATTACAGTGCTCTAACATGTCTAACCTTTTAATGATAAGAACAAACCTTATAATAAAGGGCAGAGATAAGCCTAGGCCATTAGACTACAGACTGAATGTTAGCTTCACTGAAATTCTTCAAAACTTCTTCTGGTTCAGCAGTTGGTCTCTTACAGCTCCAATTTAATTTATCTTTCCATGTGTCTTAGGTAGCAGTAGTGAAGTTGGTTGAGGCACTATGCTGCAACCCGGAAGGTCGCAGGATCAAACCCCGATGAGGTCACTGGATTTTTTTCAATTTACCTAATCCTTCCAGCTGCACTATGACCCTGGGGTCGACTCAGCCTCTAACAGAAATGAGTACCAGGAATATTCTTGGGGGTAAAGGGTGGCTGGCATGTAGGGCTGACAACCTTGCCACCGTCTATGAGCTGATTGTCTAGAAAATGAAGGAACCTCAACATCTCACAACTGTATGGACCTCCACGGCCTGTTACAGAGATACCTTTACTTTTACTTACTTTATGTTGTCTTAGGTTTGCAGTTTAGTAGTATCTTTGGGAACCAAAACAGTTCCTGAGATGTTACCGGGCTCTTAACTGTTAAAGAAATATTCAGTTGTTACAGCAGGTTCATCATTATAATAAATTAAGTTCAGCTGATATAAACACATTCTATTTCACCTAGATCTGTTTAACATGGACTCATATTCTGAGGTTATACAAATGAACAAATACACTTATTCCATGTATGCTACATGCCATACCAATTTCAACATTCTTCATGTAACAGACCTAACAAAATTAGGTGAAAAGTAAATATTATGAAGCTTCCTGGTATAAGTAATTTTCTAAATTCCTCTGAAGTTTTGCATTCCTTGGGTTCAGTTATTGTTGTCAGTATTTCAATTCTTCTTCCCTTAGAGTAAAACCACAATTTTCACTCACATACACACATACACACAAAAAAGAGGAAGAAATGATATAAATTAGATTCTGAACTGAATGTAACAACGCATAAAATGATGTGCTTTTCAGTTCATATGTTCAATATCAGTTCAATCATTGGCCAGATGTCAGTATGGGTCACAATTAACTGTCAGTAAAAGATTATAATTATGGTATTTTAACCATATTCACAATAAGAATTGGTGATAACTTGTAATTATCAACATATGTAATGTTTAAGAGGTTAATTTTAATTTCCAGTTACTTCGTCTTCCTGGTATTATTGTACCCAGCAACGGAATTATTCAAGTTTACCAGAGCCCAGATCTTTTTCCTTCTCTCAACATGAACAGTTATTTTTTCTGTGAACACAGCTTATTATTCTACTGAGGTAACAAGCTCATCAATTTTATTCATACACAAAGAAAATAAAGATGGTAAGGAAACCTGTGCATCATACCTTTACAAAGTTCTTCATAACTCTTCTGAACTTGGCCCAACTTCTCTTGAAGCTTGGTTTCAATGGTACTGAACATTATTTCACATTCTTGAAATTCAGCATTGACAGTCTGAAGTTCAGGTAACACATTGCTCATGTCTTGCAACCCACTGCCTTCAATACGATGAATTGCTGAAGTTTGCAATGTGATCAGTGATTTGATAAATTCTGACAAACTAAATTTTCCATCTTGCATCTTCTTCATTAATTCCTATTCAAAGAAAAGTATAATGAATAATTTAATTTCATAGCTGAGCAGACATGTTGATAACAACACATGCACTGCCAGGCCCCCAGACTGGGAATTTACCTATCAACCATTCTTCCAAGAAAATTGGATACTGAACTTATTATATTCAACATAAAACTGGAAGAGAACAAGCAACAAATACTCTACTTGTCTGTTTGACTTACTCTTCAACCATGAAGATGAAGACAATATTCCTCAGTCACAGTCCACCATGACAAAACCATATCTTGTAAGTAAAAATCATTGTATGTTTTGAATATTTCAAGCTTTAACAAGCTATATTTAAAGATTCTTTGCACATGAGTTGGTTACTTACTGGTGCTGTCACCATCAAGACTATACGTCATCAATAACAGGTGATAAATGAATATGGAGCATTTCACAGAATGAGAATTGGCTGGGGAAACTTGGACAAATCCTGGCCCAGTGCCATTTTGTCCCCCACAAGTTCCACATGGCCTGCTGCAGTGGGAAGCAAGAGACTAACTGCCTGTGCTATGGAACCTCTCCATTTGAGTGGCATTTGTAGGAGAAGAGTTCTATCTTTTGGGATATAATGCCACGCACCATGATGAAAGTCAACATACATTTTGCATGAAAACACTGCTTCCATCTAGAGGGTTGAAGAGTAAGCCAAGTAAGAAATAAGCAACAAGCACGTGATAAATGTTGTTTGTCTAGTGCCTCCAAACATGGTCAGTGTTGATTCTTCCGGCCTTTCTCTGCCTTGGCACGGACACAGAGTGCATTTCTGAATTGAGGCCAAGCACAGGGCAGACTCTGTTACACCAGTGACAGTATAATCTTGAGAATGAGTGCCAAAGGGGACCTATTGCTTAGAGTGGGCTCTGACCCTCTGGGAGCCTGTGTTCTTCACATTCCCAGAGTTAAACTTTTGACAGATGTTAAGATTTCAACATATGAGCAGAAAAGTCAACAAACAGGTCTGACCAGAGATCAAACACAGATATTATATTGTGATCACCAGGTCCTGATGACTGTAATTTGATTCAGTATTAAATATTGCCATTTGACAATTAAATGTTCATAAATATCATAATTATTCTCTTGTTCTTTCTGTGTTTCAGTACAAGGTGACTTTAGTCTAAGCCTGTGCTAACATACAATAAGAATAAAAATTACTTCCAAATCATCATCCATGCTGTTTCTGTATGCAGAATAAATGTTCAAGAGATTTAGATCAAGACACAGTTGAGATTCATCATTGTTCTCAGCCATTTTGATGGTTTCAAGGAGGTTTGTTACACAAATGCCAGTCTTGTTCAAAACGTGTATCACAGCTTCAATCACACGTCCTTCAGCTTCCACATTTGCAACCCACTCTGAAAGGTGCAACTATCAACAGTCACTTAAAAATTACTCCAGATGCTCCTACAGACCAAACAAATTGACTAGACTTCCACACAGAGATACATAAATATGGGCTGTACAAGCTGCACTCGTGTGATTTTGACACAGCATTTTAAAAATTCCTTTCATTTTTTTTTGATAAAAAATTTATTTACTAATTAAATACTGCATAACCCAGAACTTATTACAATTAAAACTAGTTGGATAACCAACGATTAATTTTTTTCTAAACCTAATATTCTACGTAAATTAAAACTAAGTCACTTCCACTGAATTACTTAGTACTTTAACATTTAACTAGTTTGAACGGTTTCTTCCGTTTGAGTCGTCTAATGATATTGTTCACATTGAGAAGTCTGGACGCTTCAATGTTGACATGGTTTCATGAGAGGTGGCGGACTTAGCGATGATATCTATAATTGTCTTGATCCCAAGGTCATGATGAAGGTCACTGTTACGAATGTACCATGGTGTGTTGACAATACACTTTAGCACTTTGTTCTGATAGTGTTGAATCACTTGAATATTGGATTCACTGGCACAGCCCCAGAGCTGGATACCATAACTCCAAACTGGACGTAGAGTTTGTTTGTATAATGTAAATTTATTGTGGATTGATAGCTCAGAATTGAGTCCAAGCAACCAATACATTTTTCTGAACTTATTGTTGAGCTCATCACGACTTTTCTTGATATGCTCTTTCCACCGTAACTTGGCGTCTAGAGTTATTCCAAGATATTTCGCTGTGTTGATGTATGGAACTTGAGTGCCATCGATGAAGACTGATTGTTGTGCAATCCTCTTGTTTGTAAAGTCAATATGTACTGATTTGGATTCGTTGAGTTCAATTCGCCACTTATGATGAAAATTACAGACTAATTTCTGTTGCTCCTTCATTCATGCTATGATCACTAATTATCTGCAATCTAAGCATGTTAGGCTACATTGTAAGAAAAAACTGCTTTAAGAATTACAAAGCCATAATTGTTCCATCACTGTTAGGCAATTTCTTCTTATTATGTTTTGCTATGTGCAGACCTTTTGAAAATGTAGATTTTACTGAAGTAATTTTTAAGCAACTGAAATAGATAAGGTAACACTCTTACTTATTTAGCATAACAATAACTAGCGAGTCACTGTACCCTGATCTGTTAAGTATGCATGTGCAACAGCTAAAAATCCATCAGCTCTTACAAGTTTTTTATTTCTTAAAATGTACTAAATAAAACTTGAACATGGTTTCCATAGTAGAGAACACCAATAAATATAATGATGTAAAATCTTAAGCCTTCAGAGTGGATGAAGTTGATGAAATCTTCTCGGGCTATCAGCCATGTCAGCTGGTTAGAAATTATTGATGTTTCAGGGACCATTTCTATCCCCAACATCAGGAGTTGACAGTCCATGAAGATTTTGTCAAACATAATGATGTGTAAAACAAAAGTAATACTGACGCCTTAACATTTTTTTGTACAATATGAAATTAAATAAAAATCAGTTTAGCTACACTTAAGTTATCATAGTTCATGCATACATCTACAGAGCGATTTTAATAGATGCTCCGCAAGTAAGCAAACATGCATGAAAAGGGTTGAATAAAATTCACAACTCGTGACTGCTGAAATTTTAGTACATGGAATAAATAACAGCTACAGCTATTCATGTGTATCCTCCCTCCACAGCTGCCAACACGCCACCCCAAAGGATCACTTTTCCACTTCTTTACTACAATTGTTGTGAATGATTCCATACCAGCTTTTCTGTTGTCAAAAAAAAATAAATAAATAAAATAAACATACCAGCAGTAACACCAGTGTCATCAAAGATCACAGCAACTAATATAACTGTTATCAAATATACCAGCAATTAATATAACTCTCATCAAACTTGGTAGCA